ATTTTTCACCCCAAAACCTTCTCACCTGTCCCCAGCTGTGTCCCCTGTGTCCCACCTGTCCCAGGCCATTTTGTGACCTCCAAAACCCCATTTCCACCCCCAAAAACTCCATTTTTTTGCCCAAAAGCTCCATTTTTTTACCAAAATTGACATTTTTGTACCAAAATCGGCGTTTTTTGCCCCAAAATTCTTTCACCTGTCTCTCTAGGTGTGTCACCTGTCTCCCACTTGTCCCGGGTCATTTTGTGACCTCCAAAACCCTGGTTTTAGTGCAAAAATTGACATTTTTTTACCAAAACTGACATTTTTAAAAATAAACTTAACTTTTTTTTTTACCAAAATCGCCGTTTTTCACCCCAAAACCTCGTCCCCTGTCCCAGATTCCCCCGAGTCCATGCGGGAGCACGAGGTGGCGGCCATTTTGTGACCTCCAAAACCCCATTTTTTCCCCGCCTGTGCCAGAACCCCCCGAGTCGATGCGGGAGCACGTGGTGGCCGCCATTTTGTGACCTCCAAAACCCCATTTTTAGTGCCAAAAATTGACATTTTCTCGCCCAAAAACTCCTTTTTTTTGCCGAAAAACTCCATTTTTTTACCAAAATCGCCGTTTTTCACCCCAAACCTCATCCCCCATGCCAGGACCCCCCGAGTCGATGCGGGAGCACGTGGTGGCCGCCTCCAAGGCCATGAAGACGGGCGACTGGCGCCGCTGCCACCGCTTCGTGGTCAACGAGAAGATGAACGGCAAAGTGTGGGACCTGTTCCCCGAGGCCGACCAGGTGCGCGCCATGCTCGTCAGGTGAGCCCCGCCTGGGCACAGGTAACCGAATTTTGGGGGTTTTGGGAAAATTTGGGTCATTTTTGGGGATTTTTGGGGATTTTTTGGGGGATTTTTGGTGATTTTTTGGTGATTTTTGGAGGTTTTTATGTGGATTTTTGGGGGTATTTAGGGTGAAAAATGAGGATTTGGGGTACCCAGGTGAGTCTCAGGTGAGTCTCACCTGGGCACAGGTAACGAAAAACGGGGATTTTGGGAAAATTTGGGTGATTTTTCGTGATTTTTTGTGATTTTTTGGTGGTTTTTTTGTCATTTTTTGGTGGTTTTTTGGGGTTTTTATGTGGATTTTTGGGGGTATTTAGGATTAAAAATGAGGATTTGGGGTGTCCAGGTGAGCCCCACCTGGGCAGATAAAAATTTGGGGATTTTGGGAAAATTTGGGGGAATTTTGAGGATTTTTTGTGATTTTTTGGTGATTTTTTGGTGATTTTTTTGAGATTTTTTGGGGGTTTTTTGGTGATTTTTGGAGGTTTTTATGTGGATTTTTGGAGGTATTTAGGGTGAAAAATGAGGATTTGGAGTACCCAGGTGAGCCCCACCTGGGCACAGGTAACCGAATTTTGGGGGTTTTGGGAATATTTGGGCTATTTTTGGGTGATTTTTTGTGATTTTTTGTGATTTTTGGGTGATATTTTGGGGGTTTTATGTGGATTTTTTGGGGTTTTTATGTGGATTTTTGGGGTTATTTAGGGTGAAAAATGAGGTTTGGAGGTGCCCAGGTGAGTCTCACCTGGATACAGGTAAAAAAATTTGGGTGATTTTGGGAAATTTTTTGGGGTTTTTATGTGGATTTTTGGGGGTATTTAGGATTAAAAATGAGGATTTGGGGTGTCCAGGTGAGCCCCACCTGGGCAGATAAAAATTTGGGGATTTTGGGAAAATTTGGGGGAATTTTGAGGATTTTTTGTGATTTTTTGGTGATTTTTTGGTGATTTTTTTGAGATTTTTTGGGGGTTTTTTGGTGATTTTTGGAGGTTTTTATGTGGATTTTTGGAGGTATTTAGGGTGAAAAATGAGGATTTGGAGTACCCAGGTGAGCCCCACCTGGGCACAGGTAACCGAATTTTGGGGGTTTTGGGAATATTTGGGCTATTTTTGGGTGATTTTTTGTGATTTTTTGTGATTTTTGGGTGATATTTTGGGGGTTTTATGTGGATTTTTTGGGGTTTTTATGTGGATTTTTGGGGTTATTTAGGGTGAAAAATGAGGTTTGGAGGTGCCCAGGTGAGTCTCACCTGGATACAGGTAAAAAAATTTGGGTGATTTTGGGAAAATTTGGGTGATTTTTTGGTGATTTTTTGGTGATTTTTTGGAGGTTTTTGGGTGATTTTTTGGAGGTTTTTGGGTGATTTTTTGGAGGTTTTTGGGTGATTTTTTGGAGGTTTTTGGGTGATTTTTTGGAGGTTTTTGGGTGATTTTTTGGAGGTTTTTGGGTGATTTTTTGGAGGTTTTTGGGTGATTTTTTGGAGGTTTTTGGGTGATTTTTTGGAGGTTTTTGGGTGATTTTTTGGAGGTTTTTATGTGGATTTTTAGGGGTATTTAGGATTAAAAATGAGGATTTGGGGTGTCCAGGTGAGTCCCAGGTGAGTCTCACCTGGGCAGGTGAAACAATCTGGGGCATTTTTGGGCCATTTCCCGCCATTTTTGGGCCCATTTTCTTCCATTTTTCAGCCATTTTCCGCCATTTTTGGGGCCATTTTGGGACCATTTTGGGGCTATTTTGGGTTACTTTGGGCCCATTTTTGGCCATTTTTGGGGCTATTTTCAGCCATTTTGGGGCCATTTTGGTGTTATTTTGGGCCCATTTTCAGCCATTTTTGGGCTATTTTATGTTATTTTGGGCCCAATTTTGGGTTCTTTTGGGGTCATTTTCACCTTTTTTTTTGCTATTTTAGGGGGTTTTGGGCTATTTTGGGGCCATTTTCAGCCATTTTGGGGCCATTTTTGTGTTATTTTGGGCCCATTTTCAGCCATTTTTGGGCTATTTTATGTTATTTTGGGCCCAATTTTGGGTTCTTTTGGGGTCATTTTCACCTTTTTTTTTGCTATTTTAGGGGGTTTTGGGCTATTTTGGGGCCATTTTCAGCCATTTTGGGGCCATTTTTGTGTTATTTTGGGCCCATTTTTGGGTTATTTTGGGGCCATTTTGGGGGTTTTGGGCATCCCCAGGTGTGCCCAGGTAAGGAAATTTGGGTCTTTTTGAGGCCATTTTGGGTTATTTTGGGCCCATTTTCAGCCATTTTGGGCCCATTTTCAGCCATTTTGGGGCCATTTTCAGCCATTTTGGGCCCATTTTCAGCCATTTTGGGCCCATTTTCAGCCATTTTGGGGCCATTTTTGGGTCATTTTGGGCCCATTTTCCCCCATTTTGAAACCATTTTCCGCCATTTTGGGCCCATTTTTCAGCCATTTTGGGGCCATTTTTGGGTCATTTTGGGCCCATTTTCCCCCATTTTGAAACCATTTTCCGCCATTTTGGTTTTTTACTTAAAAATTTAGGAGGTTTGAGGTAAAAATTTCTGAATTTTAAGATAAAAAATTGCAAATTTTGGTATAAAAAATGGTGAATTTTGACACAAAAATTGTGAATTTTTGACCTAAAAATTTGGGAATTTTGAGGTAAAAATTTCTGAATTTCGATATAAAAAATGGCAAATTTTGGTATACAAAATGAAGAATTTTGATGTAAAAGTTGTGAATTTTTGACCTAAAAATTTGGGTATTTTCAGGTAAAAATTTCTGAATTTTGAGATAAAAATGGCAAATTTTTGATATAAAAAACTGTGAATTTTTATGTACAAGGTGTGAATTTTTGACCTAAAAATTTGGGAATTTTCAGGTACAAATTTGGGGATTTTCAGGTAAAAATTTGGGAATTTTGATGTAAAAATCTCTGAATTTTGAGGTAAAAAATGGTAAATTTTAAGGTAAAAAATGGTAAATTTTAAGGTAAAAAAAAAGAATTTTAATTTAAAAAAGCAGATTTTGGGTTAAAAAAGGTGAACTTTGGGTTTTCCAGCATGGAGACGCTGGCGGCCATGTTTGAGCTGGACCTGCCCACGGTGCACGGCATCATCAGCAAGATGATCATCAACGAGGAGCTGATGGTGAGCGCGGGGACACCTGGGACAGGTGTGACCTCACCTGGGACAGGTGTGACCTCACCTGGGGGGAGATTTGGGGTCAATTTGGGTGATTTGGGGTCAGTTTGGGTGATTTGGGGTCATTTTAGGTCAATTTCAGGCCATTTTAGGTCAATTTGGGGCAGTTCTGGGGTTACCTGTGCAGCCAGGTGTGACCTCACCTGTGGGGACAGGTGTGACCTCACCTGGGATAGGTGTGACCTCACCTGTGGGGAGATTTGGGGTCAGTTTGGGTGATTTGGAGTCAATTTGGGGCTATTTTGGATCAATTTGGGGCCATTTTGGATCAATTTGGGGCCATTTTGGGGTTACCTGTGTGGCCAGGTGTGACCTCCTCAGGGACAGGTGTGACCTCACCTGTGGGGACAGGTGTCACCTCACCTGTGGCGTGGTTTGGGGTCAATTTGGGTGATTTGGGGTCAATTTGGGGCCATTTTGGATCAATTTGGGGCCATTTTGGATCAATTTGGGGCCGTTTTGGGGTTACCTGTGTGGCCAGGTGTGACCTCACCTGTGGGGACAGGTGTGACCTCACCTGTGGGGTGGTTTGGGGTCAATTTGGGTGATTTGGTGCCATTTTGGGCCCGTTTGGCGCCATTTTGGGGCTATTTTAGGTGGTTTTTTTGGGGTTACCTGCAGCCCAGGTGAGCTCACCTGTGCCCACCTGCAGGCCTCGCTGGAGCAGCCCACGGCCACGGTGATGATGGGGAGACCCCGTTTAGGGCCATTTTGGGGTCATTTGGGTCCATTTTGGGCAGGTTTGGCGCCATTTTGGGCAGGTTTCAGGTGGTTTCTTCTGGGGCACACCTGGACACACCTGGGCACACCTGGATGCACCCGAGGGGGGTGGGACACACCTGAACACACCTGGGTTACTCAGGGACACACCTGGGGGAACGTGGAGGTGTCCGGGGCACACCTGGGCCCACCTGAGCCCCACCCCGCTCTCACCTGTCCCATGCCTCCCTCCAGACCAGAAAGATGGCGGATACCGCAAGGGCGACGGCTACCTGCGGCGCGGCGGCTTCCGGCAGGAGCGCGGCAACTACTGAGGCACACCTGGGGAGCAAGAGACACACCTGGCCCGCCGCGGGACCCTCACCTGCCCCACGGAGACCTCGCCTGCCCCATGGATCCATTACCTGCCCCATGGATCCATTACCTGCCCCATAGATCCATTACCTGCCCCACAGATCCATTACCTGCCCCATGGATCCATTATCTGCCCCACAGAGGCCTCACCTGCCCCATAGAGGCCTCACCTGCCCCATAGATCCATTACCTGCCCCACAGATCCCTCACCTGCCCCACAGAGGCCTCACCTGCCCCAGAGAAGCCTCACCTGTTCTACAAACCCCTCACCTGGGCAAAGAGTCATCACCTGCCCCACAGAGGCCTCACCTGCCCCACAGAGGCCTTACCTGCCCCACAGAGGCCTCACCTGCCCCACAGAGGCCTCACCTACCCCATAGATCCATTACCTCCCCCACAGATCCATTACCTGCCCCATGGATTCATTACCTGCCCCACAGAGTCATCACCTGTTCTACAAACCCCTCACCTGGGCAAAGAGTCATCACTTGCCCCATAGAGGCCTCACCTGCCCCACGGAGACCTCACCTGCCCCATGGATCCATTACCTGCCCCACGGAGGCCTTACCTGCCCCACAGATCACTCACCTGTTACATCGAGGGTCCCGCCGGTCGGAAAGCAATAAATGAATTATTAAAGAGTGCGTTAATGAGGTGTTAATCGATGCGTTAATGAGTGCCGGGGCAGGGCCTGCCCCGTAGAGCTCTGCTCCGTCAGTGACCCCAAAGCGTCTCCCCTCACGTTTTCCCACCTTTTTTTCTCCCCTCACATTTTCCCGCCTTTTTTTCTCCCCTCACGTTTTCCCGCCTTTTTTTGTCCCCTCACGTTTTCCCACTTTTTTCTCCCCTCACATTTTTCCATCTTTTTTCTCCCCTCACGTTTTTACGCCTTTTTTTCTCCCTCACCTTTTTCCCCCTCTTTTTTCTCCCCTCACGTTTTCCCGCTTTTTTTCTCCCCTCATGTTTTCTCGCCTTTTTTTCTCCCCTCACGTTTTCCCGCCTTTTTTTCTTCCCTCATGTTTTCCCGCCTTTTTCTCCCTCTCACATTTTCCCGCCTTTTTTTTCCCTTTCATGTTTTCCCACCTTTTTTCCCCTCACATTTTCCCACCCTTTTTCCCCCTCCTCACGTTTTCCCGCCTTTTATCTCCCCTCATGTTTTCCTGCCTTTTTTTCCACCCCTCACGTTTTCCCGCCCTTTTTCTCCCCTCACGTTTTCCCGCCTTTTTTTCCACCTCTCACATTTTCCCGCCTTTTTCCCCCTCATGTTTTCCCGCCTTTTTTTCCACCCCTCACGTTTTCCCGCTTTTTTTCTCCCCTCATGTTTTCTCGCCTTTTTTTCTCCCCTCACGTTTTCCCGCCTTTTTTTCTTCCCTCATGTTTTCCCGCCTTTTTCTCCCTCTCACATCCCTCACCTTTTTCCCCCTCTTTTTTCTCCTTTCACGTTTTCCCGCTTTTTTTCTCCCCTCACGTTTTCTCGCCTTTTTTCTCCCCTCATGTTTTCCCGCCTTTTTTTCTCCCATCATGTTTTCCCGCCTTTTTCTCCCCCTCATGTTTTCCCGCCTTTTTTTTCCCTTTCATGTTTTCCCGCATTTTTTTCCTCTCACATTTTCCCACCCTTTTTCCCCCTCCTCACGTTTTCCTGCCTTTTATCTCCCCTCATGTTTTCCTGCCTTTTTTTCCACCCCTCACGTTTTCCCGCCCTTTTTCTCCCCTCACGTTTTCCCGCCTTTTTTCCCCCTCATGTTTTCCCGCCTTTTCTCCCCCCACGTTTTCCCACCTTTTTTCTCCCTCACATTTTCCCACATTTTTTTCCTTCATATTTTCCCACCTTTTTTTCCCATCATGGCCTCCCTTCACTCTGTCCCTTTATGGCCGCCCTCTTCTCCATCTTCTTCATCTTTTTCCTTCATGGCTCCCAACATTTTTTCCTCTCAGGGATGTGGATATTTTCTCTCCTCAGTTTTCCACCATTTTGTCCCCTCACAATTTTCCACCATTTTCTTCTCTTATGGCTGCTCCATTTCCTTGTTCCCTCATAGCGCCCGCCATTTTGTCCCATCATGGCTTCCTTTCTCCCTGTCCCCTCACAGTTTTCCACCATTTTGTCCCCTCACAATTATCCACCATTTTGTCCCCTTCATGACTTCCCTTCTCCCTGTCTCCTCACAGTTTTCCACCATTTTCTCCCCTCACAATTTATTGCATTTTTGTCCCTTCATGGCTTCCCTTCACCTTGTCCTCTCATGGCTGCTCCACTTCTTCCTCCCCTCACGGCTTCCTGCCATTTTGTCCCCTCACGGCTTCTCTCCATTTTGTCCCCTCATGCCTTCCCTCCTTTTTCTCCCCTCACGCCTTCCCTCCTTTTTCTCCCCTCACGACTTCCCTCCTTTTTCTCCCCTCACGACTTCCCTCCATTTTTGTCCCCTCACAGCTTCCCTCCATTTCCTCCCCTGACAGCTTTTCTCCATTTCATCCTCTCATGGTTTCCCACCATTTTGTCTCCTCATGACTTCCCTTTCTCTGTGTCCCCTCACAATTTCCCACCATTTTGTCCCATCATGGCTTCCCTGCTCCTTGTCCCCTCACAATTTTCCACCATTATCTCCCCTCACAATTCCTTGTATTTTTCTCCCTTCATGGCTTCCCTTCACCTTGTCCTCTCATGGCTGCTCCACCTCTTCCTCCCCTCACGGCTTCCTGCCATTTTGTCCCCTCACGGCTTCTCTCCATTTTGTCCCCTCACAACTTCCCTCCATTTTCTCCCCTCACGACTTCCCTCCATTTTCTCCACTCATGCCTTCCCTCCATTTTCTCCCCTCACAACTTCCCTCCATTTTCTCCCCTCACGACTTCCCTCCATTTTCTCCACTCATGCCTTCCCTCCATTTTCTCCCCTCACAGCTTCCCTCCATTTTCTCCCCTCACGACTTCCCTCCATTTTCTCCCCTCACAACTTCCCTCCATTTTCTCCCCTCACAGCTTCCCTCCATTTTTTCCCCTCTGTGTGACCAACAGATTCTACCCCATAACTCTTAATTAAAAAAAAAAAAATTACTTAAAATCCTTAAATAATTAATTATCCCTCATTAATTAACGGTATCCCCTGCCCTGCATCTTTCTCCATAGATTTTGCCCCGTTTTAATAAAATGAATTAATGGACTGATAAAATTGTGAATTAATTAAATGATTACTTAGTAATTTACAATTTCTTAGTGAACAGCAAGGGGGTGTCCCCTGCCCAATAATCTGCCCCATAACCTCTCCCATAACTCCCCATTTTGATAAAATTAATTAATTGAAAGATGAAAACATGAATTAATTCCTTCAAATTACTAATTAACCAATCAACCCTTGTTAATGAGCAACAAGGGGATGCACCCTCCCCCATGACAGTGCCTCAAAAAACATTCAGCCATTAATTACTCATTAAAAAAAACCCTTGTTAATGAGTGACGAGGCTGGGGGGAGGGGCGGCTTTGCCTCTCATTAATCCCTCACTAATTAACCCCGTTAATGAATGACTTGAAGGGGGGGTTGGGGGATAAATTCATCTCTCCCCCACCTCCCTCAGGGTCCTCCTGGGGCCGCCATGGGGCAGGGGGGGTCCCTGTGGAGGTCTATGGGGCAGGGGAGATCCTTGGGGGGATTTATGGGGCAGGGGAGGTCCTTGGGGGCATTTATGGGGGTTTATGGGGGGATCTCTGGGGCAGGGGCTCTCTGAGGGTCGATCTATGGGGCAGGGAGAGACCAAAGTTTGGAGGGGGTCCCTGTGGAGATCTATGGGGCAGGGAAGTTCTGTGGGGCAGGAGAATCCTGGGGGTAAATCCGTGGGGCAGGAGGGGTCTCTGGGGGGATCTATGGGGCAGGGGGACTCAGAAGGTGGGGAGGGGTCGCCATTGCAGGAGCAGGTGGAGGCGCAGGTGAGGGATGGCCGGGCCCTGGCGGTCCTGGGATGGTGGGAGCTGCTCCGGGGCCTGCTGGTGTTCGCCCTCTGCTCCCACCCCCGGCTGCAGCAGGACCCTGAGGCGGTGAGACCCCCTCCCCAAAAATGGGGGACCCCCCACCCCAATTAGAGACCCCTGATCCATAGAGACCTCCCCCCCCATAACAACATAGAGGCACCCTCAGGGCTTCCCGCCATTTTCTGCCCTCACAAACTGTGACCTCCAAACCCCTCCCTTGCCCCATAATCCCCCCCAGCCCCATAAGTGACCCCTAAATCTCCAAACCCACCCCTAGTCTCTGCCCCATAACCTGCTCCCAAACCCCATAAGTGAACCCCAAAACTCACCCCCGCTCCTCACAGTCATGGCGGGTCCTGGGCTGTGTCCCTCTGAAGCAGCTGTTGGGGGAAAGTGGGGCATCCCCTTCCTCCTGTTCCCTCATGGCTCCCCTCGTTTTCTTCCCTCAGCTATCAGGCTTTTTTGTCCCTTCAGAGATTTCTTTCTTCCTGTCCCCTCACTGTTTCCCGTCATTTTCTTCCTTCATATTTTCCCGCCATTTCCTCCCCTTGCAGTTTCCCGCCCTTTTTTCCTTTCACACTCCCCCTCCATTTCCTCCCCTCACGCTCCCCTGCCATTTTCTCCCCTCACACTCCCCCATTTCCTCCCCTCACATTTGCCCACCATTTCCTCCCCTCAGTTTCCCTCCATTTTTTTCCCTCACAGTTTCCTGCCCTTGTCTCCCCTCACACTTTCTCACCATTTTCTCCCCTCACCATTTCCCTCAATTTCCTCTCCCACACTCCCCCATTTCCTTCCCCTCACACTTTCCTGCCATTTCTTCCCTTCACATTTGCCCACCATTTTCTCTCCTCAGTTTCCTGCCCTTTCCTCCCCTCACACTCCCCCACCATTTTTCCTCTCACACTTTCCCGCCGTTTTCTCCCCTCACACTTTCCCACCATCTTCCCCCCTCACACTCCCACCATTTTCTCCCCTCACACTCCCCCACCATTTTCTTCCCTCAGCTTCTCAACTGTCTTCCCCTCACACTTTCCTGCCATTTCTTCCCTTCACATTTGCCCACCATTTTCTCTCCTCAGTTTCCTGCCCTTTCCTCCCCTAACACTCCCCCACCAATTTTCCCCTCACACTTTCCCTCCATTTCCTCTCCTCACACTTTCCCACCCTTTTCTCCCCTCACACTCCCCCACCATTTTCTTCCCTCAGCTTCTCAACTGTTTTTTCCCTCACACTTTCCCCCCATTTTCTCCCCTCACACTCCCCCACCATTTTCTTCCCTCAGCTTCTCAACTGTTTTTTCCCTCACACTTTCCCCCCATTTTCTCCCCTCACACTCCCCCACCATTTTCTTCCCTCAGCTTCTCAACTGTTTTTTCCCTCACACTTTCCCGCCTTTTTTCCCCTCACACTTTCCCACCATTTTCCCCCCTCACACTCCCCCGCTATTTCCCTCCTCTCACACTTTCCCACCCTTTCCTCCCCTCACACTTTCCCGCCATTTTTCCCCTCACACTTTCCTGCCCTTTTTACCCTCACACTCCCCCATTTTTCCCCTCACATTTTCCTGCCCTTTTTCCCCTCACACTCCCCCACCATTTTCCCCCTCACACTTTCCCACCCTTCTCTCCTCTCACACTCCCCCACCATTTTCTCCCCTCACAGCTTCCCTCCATTTCCGTCCCCTCACACTTTCCCGCCATTTTTTTCCTCACACTCATCCACCCTTTTCTCCCCTCACACTTTCCTGCCATTTTCCCCCTCCCACCCCCCCCCCATTTTCCCCCCTCACACTTTCCCACCATTTTCTCCCCTCACACTTTTCCACCATTTTCCCCCTCACACTCCCCCACCATTTTCTCCCCTCACACTTTTCCACCCTTTTCCCCCTCACACCCTCAACCATTTTCTCCCTTCACACTCCCTCACCATTTTCCCCCCTCACACTTTCCCACCATTTTCTCCCCTCACAGTTTCCTGACATTTTCCCCCTCACACTCCCCCACCATTTTCCCCCCTCACACTTTCCCACCATTTTCCCCCCTCACACTCCCTCACCATTTTCCCCCTTCACACTTTCCCACCATTTTCCCCCCTCACACTCCCTCACCATTTCCCATTTTCTCCCCTCACACTTTCCCGCCCTTTTCCCCCTCACACTTTCCCACCATTTTCCCCCCTCACACTCCGCCATTTTCCCCCCTCACACTTTCCCGCCCTTTTCTCCCCTCACTCTCACCTGCCATTTCTTCCCCTCACACTTTCCCGCCGTTTTCCCCTCACGCTCCCCCGCCATTTTCCCATCCCACCCCGACCTCCTGCCATTCCCCGCAGCTCCTGCGGGCGTCCCGCCGGGTCCTGGGTGCCCGCCTGTGGCGGGCCCTTCTCTCCGTGTCCCTCTGGGGACAGTTTGCTGTCGGCCGGAGCCCGGCGGCCGTGCGGGAGCTGGGCCAGCGGCTCCGGGCGCGTGGCCTGCGCCCTTTGCTGGCCCTGCCCATCGAGGGCGAGGGACCCGACGGCGAGGGGTGAGTTGGGGTCACCTCTGGGGGTCACTTATGGGGTCACTTATGGGGTTTTGGGGTCATTTATGGGATGTGGGGGTCACTTATGGGGTTTTGGGGTCACTTATGGAGCAGTCCTGGGGTCACTTGTGAGTCACTTATGGGGTGTGGGGGTCACTTATGGGGCAGTTCTGGGGTCACTTATGGGGTTTTAGGGTCACTCATGGTGTCTTGGGGTCACTTTTAGGTCACTTACAAGGTTTTGGGGGTCACTTATGGGGCAGTTTTGGGGTAATTTATGGGGGTTTTGGGTCACTTATGGGGTTTGGGGGTCACTTATGGGGCAGTTTTGGGGTCACTTAAGGGGTTTTAGGGTCATTGTGGGTCACTGATGGTTTTGGGGTCCCCGTGGGGCAGCGAGGCCTGGTTCGAGCAGAACTGTGGGGCAGCCCTGCAGTGTGTGGGGCTGGCGGCCGCCGCGGGCCCCGAGCCCGCCATGCAGCTCAAGGTGACGGCGCTGCTGAGCCAGCGGCTCTGCGTGAGTGGGGCTGGGGTCTGTGGGGTGGGGTCTGTGGGGTCTGTGGGGATGTGGGGCTGTGGGGTCTGTGGGGCTGTCCCCTTTTTACATGAACCACACCCCCTTTATCTAAACCACGCCCATTTTTAACTGAACCACGCCCCTTTTTACCCAAACAACACCAAATTTACCTAAACCACGCCCATTTTTAACTGAACCACGCCCCTTTTACCTAAACCAGGTCTGGTTCTACATGGCCACGCCCCCTTTTACCTGAACCACACCCATTTATCTGGCCACGCCCATTTTACGTGAACCACGACCAATTTTACCTAAACCACGCCCCTTTTTACTCGAACCACGCCCCCTTTTACACAAACCACACCCCCTTTTTCCTAAACCACGCCCCTTTTAACCAAAACCACGCCCATTTTACCTGGCGACACACAATTTTAACCTTAACCACGCCCCTTTTTACATGGCCACGCCGTTTTACTCAAACCACGCCCACTTTACCTGGGTAATGCCCCTTTTTACCGAAACCACGCCCCTTTTACCTGAACCACGCCCATTTTTACCCAAACCACATCCATTTTTACACATACCACGCCCCTTTGTAACCAAACCACGCCCATTTAAACTAAACCACGCCCCTTTTTACCTGGCCACGCCCCCCGCA